CGCCCACAGCCCCGCCCCCTTACCTGTGCCAAGCGGCTCTGGAGCTCGCCCACCTCGCGGGCACTCTGCTGCTGGAGCTCCTGCACTTTCTGCAGCTCCTGAGCCCGGGCCTGTAGCACCTCGTCCTGCCGCGTCACCTGCAGCAGCGGCTTCACCTGGGGGGAGGTCAAGGTGGCAGAATGGCGGGGAGGCCGCTTGGCCCTGGAGCCAAGAGCTCACACGCTGAACAGGGCTGGATTCCTGCACGCTACGGCCAGCTGCTCCACCCACTAGCTAAGGGACCTCGGGCAAGCACGGCAGCGCCCCGTCTATGAAGGGGGGGTGATAACAGTCCCACTGCGCAGGGGTTTTGGAACAAGGGAAAGAGTTAACCCCTGTAAAGAGCCTAGAACAGGCCCGGGAGCGTGGCCAGCAGCCCTAACCAGTTTCTTTTTTGCTAAACGAACCCTCTGCATACAAGAGACACTGCTATTCGGTAGCACAGTGTTTCTAAAGTTCTCAGTCCCAGGTCCACGGGGAGAAACGCACTTCACATGGTGCAATTAGGTGACAAGCGCCACACGCATCAGTAACCGAAGTGAGTGTTTCACAAAACCATTCTCCCCCTGGCCAAGTGGGACACACTCAGTACTGATTTTAATCTGTATCCTTTCACTGTAATAGACTGTAACCGTGAGTATAATTATGAGGAATTTCTGTGAGTTCTTCTAGGGAATCATTGAATCCGAGGGGGGTCTCAGGACCCCCTAACTCAGCCCTGGATCCAGTTGCACCTGAAGCTGTCCTGCGTCTTTTATCCATGTTGCTTTCAGTCCGATTTTTTGGTCACTTGCTACCTAAAGAATCCTACTGAACAAAGGTCAGGCTGATTGGTCCCATTGCACAGATGCGGCCAACTGAGGCCCAAACAAAAGAAGTTGCTCTCCCCAGCAGACCTGCCCCCAAGGTCCTGTCTCCCACCTCCGCAGGTGCCCTCACCTTGGTGAAGAGCCGCCACCACTGCCAGTGTCTGAGCTTGAGGTAGGCCGCACAGTTCCGCTGCATCACCCTCAGCGCGCTCTGCTGCTGCTGCCGCTTCTGGAAGGCCCTGGGCGGGACACAGGCATATGGGAGGGCAGCTTAGACCCTCCCGGCCCTGCCCCCTTAGCAACAGAGAGCCTCCTTCCACTCCTCAACCATGATTAAATGCCTACTGTGTGCACAAGCCGTTCTATTATTGGTACATCTTGTTGTGTACAGTTCATCAGCCCTCCTGCCCTCGACCCTCTCTGCCCTATCCCCTCCTCTCTTCCCATAGCCCCAGCCCCAATTCAGGCCCCCCCTTCGCCCACCTGGACCCTCGCTCAGCCTCCTCCCGAGCCTCCCAGCCTCCAGTCCATCTCAACAAGCCTCCAGCCCTCCCCTGCTCACAGCCCTCCTATGGCTCCCAGCACCCCAGGCCCCTCAGTCTGGTACTGGGAATCCTTTATCTGCTGACCCTTCCCCCTGGGCCAGTTCGAAGCGGAAGGAGATGCTCCTGCAAGCTTCCTGCTTTCCTGAGGCCTGGGTACCTTTCCACCCTCCTTGGTGGACCTGGTCACCAAGCGTGACCTGGGCGTCCTGGTCTGCAGGGCCTCCCACTGTACGACCCCCATCAAAGTGCATCTGTGATGTTTTGTACCCACATTGTCTGCCCTTCCAGACTGAAGTCCCTCAAGGGACTGGGCCAGCAGGGTGACCACCTGCACCTAATTTACCCGTGGCTTTCTCTATGTTAGCACTGAAAGCCATGCACCCTGGGAAGCCTCCAGTCCCGGGCAAACGGGGATGCCTGGTCACCGGTGACACAGCCTAGCTCTTCTGTGTCTCCAGCATCGCTCAGCACTGGGCCTGGCCCACAGAGGCCTTGGGGACTGTAGGACCAGGAAGCCTGGGCACCTGGTGGCTCCCTCCCTTTGTCTCTCAGCCCTTCTACCATCTTTGAGGCCTTGATATCTGGGGCCATCTGGTCAACCCCTCCATGCCCCAGCCTTAGCCAATGGGACCCCAGCAGACAGCGTGGAGCCCCACCTGCGAGCCAGGTATCCCCGGGCAGCTGCCTGGAAGGACACGATGATGTCTGTCACCTTCAGGTCCCGCTCCTCTTCCAGCTGGGCCAGGACCCCGGCCCGGAAGAAAATCTTACTCTGTCCCACGCGGTAGAGGTTGGGATCCAGTTCTAGGGCCTGGATCTGTGAGGGGTGGGGGGTGATAAGGAGAAGGGGCGGTAACAGGGGAGGTCCCAGCCCCCTCCCCAACACCTGGGGCTGTGCACATGTGCACACACACACCTGCACCCCCCACACTCACCATCTTCTCACAGGCCTGCTTCCCATCCATGAAGCCCTTGGGGATGGCATTGGGGGTCAGGATCTCATACCTGCAGTGGGAGGGCATGGGTGGGGACAGGGTCAGAGTGACAAACAGCAATAACCGATGACAAGAACAGAAAGAAAAATGGACGTTGGCTCTCAGCCACACACTGGCTAAGAGCGTTAGTGCCACCGCCAGCAGCACCGACGATAAAAGCGCCCAGTCCTGCGACACCCACTGAGTGCTGACCACGAGCGGGTGTTACATCCCCACCGCCTTTCCCGAGATGGGAACAGCGGCGGGTCTCAGAACAGGAATGTGAGAACAGCAAGGTAGCGGCTGATGTTTTTGAACTTCCTCTGTGTCAGGCCCTGGGCTAAGTGCTTTGCAGCAATTTCTTTCAAAGTTCTGCGTGGAACTCCGAATTAAAAAAACACATTTTACAAACACATACGTGTCTGTTCTCAGAGTCTTTCCCCTGCCGCGTGTGTGCGTGCATGCGTGCGTGCGTGCGTGTGTGTGTGTCTCGGAGTTTCTCCATCACCAGGGATCTTGTTAAAATTCAGATCCTAGTTCAGTAAGTCTGGGAGAGGCCTGAAAGCCTGCATATCTAACAAGCTGCCAGATGCTGGCGTTGCTGGTCCAGGGACCACACGTTGAGTAGCAAACTACAGACCTGTGCTGCCCAGCAAAGCAGCTGCTGGCCACGTGCGCCACGTGCGACTACTGAGCCCTTGAAATGTGGCCTGAGCAATTGAACTGGATTTTTTTTTTTAATCTTCACTCAAGGATATATTTTTATTGATTTTAGAGAGAGAGGAAGGGGGGGAGAGAGAGAGAAAAACAAACAAACAAACATTGATCGGTCACATCCCATACTTGCTCTGACCTGGGATTGAACCTGTAACCCAGGTATGTGCCCTGACCAGGAATCGAACCCACAACCTTTTAGGTGCACAGGATGACACTCCAACCAACTGAGCCACTGAGCCAGGGCCAATTGAACTGGATTTTTAACTGTATTTAATTTTCTTTCTTTTGTTTAAAGTTATAACAGACATTTATTTAAAGTAATATTTGAAACCCAGATGGTTCTAAATTGTACCTTCCAGGTTTAACCAACATAGTTAAACTACGTAGGACAGATGCACCCACAGATTTGACCACATGCTGATTTCTGTGCCTGGCCTCTCTCCCTTTCCCGTCCCCAATAACCTCTTTCAGATACGGTGCACGGGAGGATTTAACCTCTCCATATCTTGTCCATATCTTGTCTTATCTTCAGGCAAGACCTGCTGCCTCACGGGCAGGCCCAGTGCTCTCTTAATGCGAAACACCGTCGGGATGCAGGTTCAGGAAGCCTTCTTGTGGCTTCTCTTACATGGTCATCTGCACGCATTGCACGGTCCCTCATTAACCCGTTTACTGGACCCCGCAGTGTTAATGCCATTTTCCAATACCCTCCAGCCACCGGCTCCGTGCTGTGACAGCAGGCCGGCTGGCCAGTGTGACCCGAGACTCGAACGGTACTTCATTTTCACTGACTGAAATTTAAATTTAAAAACGCAAGCAGTGTAAAATATTTTGTTGTTGTTAAACACAATTTCATTGCTTTGGCAAGACAACAATTCGCTTTGACCACCGGAAATTCAGTGTCTGAACCGGGATGCGCCGTGGGTGTAAGGCACACAGCATGCCCAAGGTTTGGTATGAAAAAGTGTGCATAAAGTATCTCGCTACTGATTTTTTATACTGTTTACATGTTAAGATCACCCCATATCTTAGATGCATTGGGTTAAATAAAATATCTTGTCAACATTAACTTCACCTGTTTCTTTTTACTTTTAAAAACATGGCTACTACAAAAATTTTAATTGTAGATGGGGCTCACATTATATTTCTAATGGATGCTACTACAGCTGTATGAAGTGTAATTTTTATAATATTTACCATATTATTTGGTGTTTTCCGTTCTATCCCACTCCACTGAATTTTTTAAAAAAATATATCTTTATTGATTTCAGAGAGAGGAAGGGAGAGGGAGAGAGTTGAAACATCAAAGATGAGAAAGTCATTGATCGAGCCCGAAACCCGGGCAGGTGCCCTGACGGGGAATCGAACCGCAATCTCCTGGATCCTAGGACAAAGCTCAACCGCTGAGCCACCCACGCGCAGCCGGGCTCCACTGCATTTTTAAAGAAATGCCAATTGCAACACGTTGATTGCAATAGGATGCCCCATGCCCTTTCTCTCCGGGAGCGCACTGAGTGGGTATTGCTCGCCCACATCACGGAGAAGACTGAGGCTCGGCAAACCTAAGGAGCCTGCCCCGAGGCCTGGCTCAGAAGCAGCAGTGGGAGGCCTGGGTGCAGCAGTGGGAGGCCTGGGTGCAGCAGTGGGAGGCCTGGGTGCAGCAATGGTGGCTTCCAGAGCCGAGCCCCACCCCCCCTACCCCCCACTCACCGCTGCCGGAACTCTTGGAACAGGATGCGGTTAGGGAAGCCCTGGCGACAGATGCGGATGCCCTCGAGGACGCCGTTGCAGCGCAGCTGGTCCAGCACCAGCTTGGGCTCCAGCTTCCCGGCCTGCGGAGAGCGAGGCGGACACGCAGGGTCAGCGGCGGCCGCACGGGGGCGCCAGAGCCGAGTCGGGGAAACCAGGCCGAACGGCCCTTTCAGCAGGTTGGCAACTCCTATGGTTCAACCTATAATTTACTGAGCACCTACTATGTGGCCAGACAGAAATCCCTGCCCTGGGGAAGCTCACAGACCAGGGGCGAGACTGACAGTAAATGTAGCAGAGAAATCACTAATAAACGAAAGTAATAAATAACAAAAAGTGCTAACTAGAACGGAGCAGGAGCAGGGAGGGTGGGCAGGGCTGAATTTAACACATAGGATAGTCGGCCCAGGTGTGGGGTGAACAAAGCCTATAAGTCATTATTTTTGGTAAAATGATAAAAATGGGAAAGATCTAAACAGCACAAGAAGGTAAATGATACATTACAAAAGAGAGCTTTTGCCTTGCCCAGGCCCCCAGAGCAGTCAACACAACCCCATTTCCTATGGAACCTTCAAGATTAGTTGTCCTCAGCCCAGGCTACACACTAGCGCCCCATGGGAAGCTTAAAACAACTAAGATAACAGCGACAACAACCCCCCCCCCCCC